TGTTAAGTGCTGTTGAGTTGGTTCAGATTCATAGCAACATTGTACAGGGTTTCCAAGGAGCAGTTGTTGGGTTTGAACTGCTGACTTTTTGGTTAGAATTCTAGTACTTATCCCACAGTGCCAAGCTTATTTATCCCATTTCTTGTTTCTTTGAATAATTAAAGAGTTTGGTCAATTTTAATGTTTTTTAAATTTTAAGTGAGAGATACAAGGAAATGCCTTATTATTGGATTTTTAACTATATTCTCCTGATTGTTAAGTATCCTTGAGTAGTTTCTGACTCATGTGACACTGCATTTTGTTTCTAAGGAGCACAGTATAGAGTTTCTATGTTAAAGAGTCAAATATGGAATAGTAGTCCAGTACTGATCCTACAATGCCAGTAGCATTGTTGCTGTTGTTGTTGTTGTTGTTGTTGTTAAGTGCCGTCGAATCAGTTCTGACTCATAGTGACCTTGTATAGGGTTTCCATGGAGCAGCTGGTAGGTTTGTACTGCGAGTCTTGTGGTTCACAGTCCAGTGCTGATTCACAGTGTCACACCAGAAGTCCTCGCCAGATTGTTGTTGTTAGGTGTTCCATCTAATCAGTATGCACTCCTAACAACCTTATGCATAACAGAACAAACCATTGTCCAGTTCTGAGCCAACTTCACAGTCCTTGCTACGCTTGAGTCCATTGATGCTGCCATTGTGCCAATCTGGTTCATTGGGAATCTTCCTCTTTTACACTGAGTGTCCACTTTCTAAGCATGATGTGCTTCTCCAGAGACTGGTCCCTCCTGATAATATGTCCATTAGCAATGTTGTTCAGTGCCATTGAGTCGGTTTCAACCCACAGCGACCCTCTAGAGAGTTTCCAAGGAGTGACTGGTAAGCTTGAACCACCAACCTTGAAGTTCAAACTGACTTTGTAGTTTAGCACATTAACCCACAGCACCACACCAGGACTCTATTAGCATGGAACAGTGTAAATACTTACATTTAAATTACTTTCAAAGAACAATATCAGACACAAATTTAACACTTAGTAAATTGCAGCTATTACTATTATTTCCATATATTATATGTAGTTGCATTTATTCACTATATGAATAAATTATAAACTTCATAAAAATGCTTAACAAATCACATGAAAATAAAATATGAATTGTTATCTGTCTGATTTGGTACACTACCTCACAGAGCTGTTGGTAAATAGCACATCATGAAGTAGTATTCTATAAGTAGTTAATTTTGGAGTGAATAGCAATAATCACCATATATTTTTGTAGTACTTTCAGTTTTAAAACCACTTTTATTACACTACATCATTTTTGAATGAAGCTAACTAAGAGACACTGTTTGAAACATTGTCGTTGCTATGTGCTACTGAGTCGGTTCCAACTCATAGCGACCCTGTATAGATTTTCTGAGGAGCATTGGGTTTGAACTGCTGATCTTTGGGTTAGTAGTTGGCCACTTATCCTACAGAGCCACAGCAGGACTCCATCACCTGCTTAAAAAAACTCTTTTTAAGTATAAGTATTTCTAAATTATCATACAAGATAGTATTTTGAATGATAATACTTACCTTGGATCAATTAATGCAGACTATTTAATGCCAATTTGAAATTAATTCATTCTATTTTGAACAGAGATGATATAAATGAAATATAAAGATGTATACCTGATCTTACAAATGGCGAGGTAATCAGAAGAATTCACTGTGAATTCCTTTGCAGAATTTCTTGTACATTGAAAACTTGCTTTTCCTACATATGACAATTCTAATATGCAAATCTTAGATATGTTGCTGATACATATTTGACGCAGGTCCAATGCTGATTAAAAGATGATTTTTTTTTTTTTACCTTACAGACACTTTGAGTAAATTTTCAATCAATAAGAGAATGTGTATCTTGTTTGTTATCATCTGTTGTTATTATTATAGTTTTCTGTGTATAAGAACTGGATGACTAATCGCAAAATAAGTGGTTGAAACCCACCAACTACTCCTCAGAAACCCTATACATGACTGATATGAATTGGAACCTACTTAGTGGCACTTAACAACAATGGCCATGTGTAATAGGTAAGAAAATATGCAGAGAAGCACAACCTATATTCCTAGGGACTCAAATTTAGCGTATTTTCTTTCCTATTGAACTCTATGTGAATATATTCTAAAACACAAATTTTAAAAAGTGCTATGAGAAATATTGTTTTATATAATTATTTAACTTGAGGAGAAAGGCATGTTTTTTCCTATCTTAATTTGGATTCCACAGGAAGCTGACTCTAGAGAAGTTGATTAAGCAGTGTTCATTCTGGGGATAAGCAGGCATGGGAAAAGAAGGGAGGGATCAACATCTGTCCTACTAGAAGGAAGGAATGGAATAGGACAGAAAATATACTTCCATCTAGTACATTCTGATTCACAGTGAACCTAGAGGACAAAGTAGAAGTGTTCCATAGGATTTCCAAGACTTTACATTTTTATAGTATTAAATAGTCTTGGCTTTCTCCCTTGGGTTAGCTGGTGAATTTGAAGTTCCGACCTTTAAGGTTGCTGTCCAATTTTAACTCATTGTACAACCAGGTCTCCTTGAGTAGGACAAAGGTAAAGTTACAAAAGAAGCCTCAGAACCCCCCGTAGGGTTAATGTTGGCTACTTCAGGTGAGTACAATGGACCCTTGAATAACACAGATGTGAACTGTGTGGGTTCATTATGCATGGATTATTTAAATGCCATGAAGTTAATTATCTCTGCAGTACATTGCTCATTGCAGTAAAAAGTGATCTCTTGCAGTTTTAGGGTATTTTTAATCATTCTAAGTGCAATACCATAAACCTTGAATAATGCCTTAGGGCCCCCACAAAATGCCACTAGTGATGCTGGAAATGCTCCCAAGAAGCAGAAAAAAGGTCATGGCATTACAGGAAAAAGTTGAATTGCTTTATATGTACTGTAGATTGAGGTCTTCAGTACTTAGCCAATGTAGTATTATACAAAAATTAAAAATGAATGAACTCTAATTACAGTTGTATACATTATGATTCTGCTAGTAGCAGAAAAATTCAATCAAACATTACATTTATAAAGAAAAAGTTGACTTGCTTGATGTATACTGTAAATTGAGGTCTTCAGCTGTAGTTATCCAGTATTTCAAGTGTAAGGGTCATGATAAGAAATGAAAAAGAAATTCATGAAACCATTGTTGGAGTTATGCCAGCAGTCATGAAAGCCTTTCACTTTTATTATATACCTTTTTATCTGGTACTGAAAACATATCTTTTATGCGGGTGCCATATATAATACATTGTTGTTGTTAGGTTCTGATTCCTAGTGACACTATGCAAAACAGAACAGAATACTTTCCCACCTAGCACTATCCTTACAACTGTTGCTATGCTTATATAATACATATCATATAACATATAACATACAAAATGTGTGTTAATTTACTGTTTATGTTATTGATAAGGCTTCCAGTCCATAGCACATTAATAGTTGTTAAAATTTTGTGGAATACAAAATTATTTGCATATTTTTTACTCCTTGTGAATCACAACCACTAACACGTGCATTGTTCAAGGGTCAACTGTACTAAATAGTTACTAGTATCGTTAATCCAGAGACAGGGAAAGTTTATAATAAAGAAAAATTAGAAGAAAGGAACACGATAAAATTTTGAGGATGGGTGTTGATGCTTTTCATATTCAGGATTCATTTGGTACTGCAAAAACAAGAATTGCCAAAGATACAAATAAGTGTTAAATAAGTCAATTGTAGTATATTTGGACAATCTAGTAGTACACAGCAATGAAAATGAATAAAAAATAAATGCAGGCATAAACATCATGCTTCTACCGTAGCACAAAAAATTAATTATTCATTACATTTTATAAAATGATCAAGGATATGTTGTTATGTGCCATCTATTATTTCTGGCTCATAGTGACCCTATGCACAGCAGAATGAAACACTATCTAATCCTGTGCCATCCTCATAATTGTCATTACATTTAAGCCCCACTGTTGCTGCTACTGTGTCAATCCATCTCAGTTGGGTCTTCCTCTTTTTCACTGACCCTCCACTTTACCAAGGACGATGTCCTTTTTTTTTTTTTTTTAATGTTTTATTGTGAATTATGTAGTAGTTTATATGGGAGAACATTAGTTTTACATTCATCCTATCTTATACCATTTAAAAATACAGAACGCTTCACGAATTTGCGTGTCATCCTTGCGCAAGGGGCCATGCTAATGTTCTCTGTATCGTTCCAGTTTTAGTATGTGTGATAACAAAGCAAACATTTACCATGAATTCTTGAAGTCCCTTGCATGAATTTAAGAGTATAGGTTATACAAAAGTACATTTCAAGGAATCATAAAATTAGTAAATAGTTGAGAAAGCAAAAAACCTACTTGCTTTACTTGCAGGCAGAGAATGGTAAAAGTTTAATTGTTGGTCACTGCACAGTCAGTAAAGACAACTATGAAACTACAAAGAACACAGAGGCTAACATAGGGCAAAGACGCAGCATGAGCAGACTACAAGCTCCCTGTACTCCAGCAAGGGGAAGGCAAGCCAGGCTACTGACTGTTTTTACTGGAACTAATTTTTTCCTTCAAAAATTGTGCCAATGTCTGTGTATCACTGCACCTAGTAAAATTTAAAGAGTCAGTGTCAATAATAAAATCTCCGTATTTTTCAAAGAAACAATATACATAATACATTCAGAATCATGGTTTGTTTTT